CAGGAAACACGCAGAACAAAGCAATACAAGCTCTCCCGAGAATTCTACTTCATCAGCCTTGAAATAAAGATGCAACAGCACCTGGGGTCCCATCAAACCTGGGGCATTTCCCCTGCACCAGGCCTAAGCTCTTTGCAGGCTCAAGGCTCTAGCTCTGGGACAACACTGAACTACCACAGCAGACTCCTCCAACCCCAGGCCTGCCTGGGGCTAGCTAACATTCGGTTGTATGGAGTCAGGCAAACATGAATCCAATGGGAACGGGCAGCCAGCTCCCACTCGGGATCCTACAGTCTCCCTGAACAAACTAGGGCTGCCCAAGTCTCAAGAGGAGCTTTAGAGACGACAACCGTCTTCAAGAGCGGAAGGGGCCCGCAGAGGCCAGAACTTGATCGATGGAGGAAGGAAAAGAGCAGCCCCCTATCATCTCTGGGATCAGTTCCAAGCTCCTCTGCTCAGCATTCAAAGCCCTCCACATTCTGGCCCCAACCTCCCTTTCCTGCCTCCCCCACAGCCTTCCAGTCCACAGATACTAGGCTATCAGGAGCTGCCCCTAAACAGAGCATTCACCTTTCACTTAGCTTCTAAGGCCCGAACTGATTCCCCCCTCCCCCATGGTGAATGTTCTTTCTCCGTGTAGAATGAAGGCTCCCAGAGGCCAGGGCCTGTTCCTTTTTGTTGTGCCCTCCTTGGACATCATAGGTCATGGACAAATGTTTGCAGAACTGAATGGAAATTGACTACAATGTCCAGGGAGGAAGACTGAGGCTCCCTGAAACAAAGAGCTTCTTTCCAAACCCACTGGAATTGTACCAGCATGGAATGGCTGGCCCTGAGGATGCAGAGGTAGTGAGCTCCCCATCACCAGATGGGCAGCAGTGACTAATATGAGAAGGGGACTGGATGAACAAGTCCACCTCTGAGAACCCAACTTCGATTCTGAGAACAAACCACTTTAACTAATAAATTAATCACCTGAGTGAGGCAAGGCAATCTAATTTTTACATGAGAATGCTCCCCTGCCACCAGCTGTGTCCCTGAGCAAGTCACTTACCTGGGCCTTGGTTCTCTCCCCATAACATTGAGTTTTTGGGGAAGAAAACAGGTTTTGTAAAGCCGACAAGCACTACACAAATGGGAATTAACATCGTTTCTATTCTGATCATAACGTGGCTTGCCAAAAAGGCTCCCTGTGCAAAAAACCCAATTTCTGAAACAAGCATTTAATTAGGCCACGGCATTTGGCCACCCTGCTCTTCTTTTAGGCGATGCACATTTGGAGCAAGGTAGTAGAGGGAAGGCCTTCCAAGACAGGCCAGCCCAGAGCAAATTCCTCATGCAGACACCAATCCAAAATCCATGGGGAGAGGCAGGTAATCCAGATTTTTATTTCTGCACTGAAATAGACTATCATTTGGCAATTCTCCAATTGCGGATCCAATGGAGAGTGACGGAAGACAGAATCCGATTTAACTAAGTAACTACAAAGCCACAAATCACAGAGTCCAACACCATCACTGCAGAGGCCTGGTCGTGTCACTCGTCTTCAGGCCCTTCCTTCCAGGCCGATGCCATCCCACTCTCTACTCCTCCTGCCAAAGTGGTCATCCTGCCCCACATTTCATCTTCCACCCAGGCTCAGAATGCTCTCCCCGCCTCACTCCTGACTCTTGGAACCCCAAGTTTCCAAGACCAGCTGAAATGTCACCCTTCCCAAGCCCCCCAGGACGTCAGTGCCTCCCCACTTTAGCCTCTGTGTAACTGTATGCTATCTCCCTAGCAAGGACAACCAAAAAAGCTGGTACTGATAGAGCTCTGGGAGGGAGGTGTCAGGTGTCCCCATTTTACAGATGAGGAAACTGTCTTGCTCAAGGTCACACAGTGTCTTAGGTGGGATCTGGTCTTTAAAAATAACAATAGCAGGGCAGCTAAGTGGCACAGTGGATACAGCACACACCTGGAGTCAGGAGGACCTGAGTTCAAATCCAGCCTCAGACTCTTAACACTTACTAGCTGTGTGACCCTGGGAAAGTCACTTAACCCTAAATGCCTCGCCAAATAAATACATAAATAAATGAGAATAACAGTAGCTAACATTTAAATAGCACTTAGCCCTTTACAATTTTTATCTCATTTGGTCCTCAGCACCACCCTTGGAAGTAGGTATTCTCAATCTCATTTTTCAGAGGAGGTAACTGAGGCAAAGAAGACGTGAAGTGATTGGCCCGGGGTCACAGACAGGACCTGAATCCAGCACTCTATTCACAGTACCATCTGCCTACCCACCATCTGGTCTCCTCACTGCCCCAGCATCACGCCTGGCACTGAATAAATGCTTGCTGGTTGGTCAGACAGTTAATAAATTGTATAGTGGGGTCTCCAACTCCCAATCTAAAGAGTGTTCTTAGTGTCCGACTTCGCTGATAACTCAGATCCTAGTAGGACCAGCCATAACGGCAAAGAAAATATCAGAATGGTGGGAGATTGAATAAATGTCCCTTCACATGAGGAAGGACTTTGTCATTCCCCATCCCAGGCCAAAAAACCACTTAGCAAACAATACTCCAGGAATGCTCTTACTCCCCAGCCCTCTCCCAAGAGAAGACACAGAGGGCAGTAGGATCCTGGAAGTGAAGCCCCCTCATTTCACAGCCGGGAAGGGCTAAGAGACTTAGCCTTTAGTCCTAAAAGGCTTCCTGGTGCCTAGGCCAAGTGGCACCTTTGCGTTTATGCAGCCCCTTCGATTCTATGACCTCAAAATCCTGTTCTTTCCCTTACCCCACGTTCAAGAAAGAAAAATCAGAGAAATGTTGAGTGAGGCCAAGCCAGGTAGTGGAAAGAGCGCTGGACGAGGGAGCCAGGAGACTGGAACTGGCTCCCATAATGCCCTGGTCTGAATGGCTGAGAACCACACTCCTCCTTCCACCTAGGTAAAATGAGGGTGTGGCTCTCCAGGCAATTATGTCAGTGGCCAAGCTGCAAACCTTACTTCAATCACTCACTCTTTCATTTCCAAAAACTGGTAGTGGGGGAAACCTATCACAGACTCTCAGGCAATAAATGAGCACCAGAAAAGCCTTCCTGATAAGCATATCCAAACACACAGGACTTCCCAATCACTCTCCAAAATCAAAATTTCCAAAAAGAAATAGACTTGTTTCTCCCAATTTAGAACTGAAGGAAAAAAAAAAAGCCTTGAGGTCATCTAGTCTGACACATCCTCATTTACGAGAGAGGAAAGATCCATCTCACCACCGGTCACCTTCCATGCTGCTGAATGAAGGTGAAGAAAATCCTTCCATCTGCTCTGACTGGATCCACCATAATTTGTAACGAGACCTCATCTGGGCCCTCACTGCTGTCAGGCAATCTTTCTATACCTGCTGTAAACCTTTTTTATCCTTCCTCAAACCTCCCATTCCCTTCTGCCTACAGACATGCCCCTGTCTCCATTATCTTGGAAAAAACCCTCATCGGATCCCTCTGTCCCTAAGGCTACACTCCTCCAAAAGGTCACCTACACTGAGGGCCTCCACTTTCTCTCCTCTCACTTTTCTTACAGCCTTCATCCTTCAATGGAAACTGCTCTCTCCGAAGGGACCAACGAACCATCTCTTAGATGCCCGATCCAAGGGCCTCCTCCTCTCTGCAGCCTCGGACACTGTCCACCACTGTCTCCTTGGTATTGTTTTCCCTCTTCCTTTTCTGGACATTCCTCTCCCCTCCCTCTCTGACTGCTCCTTCTGCTGGATCCTCCTCCAGATCATGACCTCTAACAACAGGTGTCCCTCAGGGCTCTGGCCCCTCAGCTCCTATGGATTTTATTACCATCTCTCTACTGATGACTCTCAAATCTACCTTTCCTGTCCCAATCTCTCATCTCCAATTGCTTTTCAGACATCTGGAACTAGATGTCCAGTAGACAGCTGACACCATGTCTTAAGTCATCACCTTCTCCTCTACCCTGCTCCCTGCCCCAATCTCCCAACCCAGGAGTCATCTTGACTCCTCGCTCTTTTTCACCCCTCATTTCCAAGCTGTTGCCAAGGCCTACAGAGTTCACCTTTGCAGCATCTCTCAGAACAAGCCCCCTCCTCTCCTCTAACCCTGCCCCCACCCTGGTACAGGCTTTCATCACCTCAGGCCTGGACTACCGCCAAAGCTGCTGGGGGGTGGGGGGCCCCCCCAAAAGGGTCTGCCTGCCTCAAGTCACTTCAGACAAACATAAAATGCTGTTTGGTGCTCACAGCCCTTTCGTAACCCAGACCCTTCTGACCTCTCCAGGATTCTCACACCTTATTCCCCAATACCCATTCTTCCCACTGAACAAGACCATCCATCTCTGGGCTCCGGGGATTTTTTTCTGGCTGTCCCCCAAGTCTGGAATGCTCTCCCTCCTCGATCCACTCCACTACTGAGCTCCCTGGCTTAAGCTGTAGCTAAAATCCTACCCCCTACGAGAAGCCTGCCCCTCCGCTTAATTCTAATGCCTACGCTGCATACACGTTTGCTTGGCGTTTCATCAATTAGATTTCGCCCCTTTGCATCTCCAGCTTAGCAGCGTGTGGTACAGAGCGTGGCGATTAATACATGTTTATTACCTGAAAGAGCCCTGGGGAGAACGACTTACCCAAGGTCACTCAGAAAACAAGCAGCGGGCCAGACAGAACTGCGGTCGTCTGGTCCAAACTCATTCTACGTCGCCAGGTCTAGAGGGGGAGCAGAGGCCTTCCCCGATCGCCCCCAGGTAGCTCCGGGCCTCTGCCTCGCCAAAGAATGCTTTTTCTACCTTCTCGCCTGTCGGCACGGAAGCAGCGTGCCCAGCTCGCTTACCCGGGGCCCCCATCAACCCGGCTGACCGGGATCTGGGTGCCAATGCCAGCATTTCTTAGCCGCGATCTGCCCGCCTGGGAGACGCCCGGCAGTGCGGGGAGCGCGGCCCGAGGCCCCCCCCCCCCCCCCCCGGGCCCCCCCCGCCCCCCCCCCGCCCCCCGGCGCACCTGGGCGCCGGCTCGAGCAGCGTGGTCGTGTCCAGGTAGTGGATCTTGTAGAACTCGAGCAGCGCCGGCAGGTGCTCGAACTCCTGGTCGCCGATCTTGAAGCGCCGGTTGGGCAGCGAGTTGATGATGTAGTGGGACACGCGCGAGTTCTCGGACACCGACAGCACGTAGTCGCCGGGGCAGGTGGACGAGTCGCGCACCAGGAAGACGCCGTGCCTCTGGCCCTGCAGCCGGCCCTGCGCCTCCTGCCGCGACAGCGGGCCCACGTACCAGGCCGAGCGGTCGGCCGAGTCGAAGCGCGCCGCCGCCATGGCCGCCGCCGCCGCCGCCGCCGCCGCCGCTCCGGGCCCGCGCGCCGGCTACGGAAGCCCGCGGGCGATCTCGGGCC